GTGAGTGGCTACCACATTGCACACTACAGCTGTCTGGCGGGTCAGTGTGCACCTGCAAGCAAAGGGTCAAGAAGTGACCACTACAGCCGAATCCACCAACCCAGAAACACATAACACAACTCGCCTGTCGCTCCAACACGCAGAACGACCCGAAGGCCAGTCCTCTTCAGCTGCCTCTCCCAGGACATTGGGTATGGGGCATGCATCTCCAGTCATAGTTTTTAAAACACATTTTAATTTATTTACTTTGAAAGAGAAAGCACAAGTAGGGGAGGAACAGAGAGAGAGGGGGAGAAAGAGAGAGAATCCCAAGCAGGCTCCACACTGTCAGCACAGAGCCCAACGTGGGTCTCGAACCCACGAACGGTGAGATCATGACTTGAGCTGAAATCAAGAGTCGGACGCTGAACCGACTGAGCCCCCCAGGCATCCCTAGAGCAGAGATCTCCAGAAGACACTGTGAGCATTCTGCTTCCTTTCTCAATCAGGTTTCCAAAATTAACCCCTCAGCTCTCGAGTCTTCATACTAATTTCTTAGAAATCTCACTACTAGACAAAAAAGGAGTCAACCGGCCTTTGATGGGAGGCAGCTTCTTGGCTCTGAGGCACCTGAGTCCTGAGGATCCCCAATGGATCCTGAACACACTGTTGGGGGTGAGGAGTTGGGGAGGGCCCAGAGCTTGCAACAGATTTTTATGACTCTGTTGCAGGGCCCTGGGAGGAGGGAAGGATTTTGGAGCCTGACAGTCTTGACAAAGGAGCACTTAATGCTAGTCTAACAACCCTCATAAAGGTAGTCATAGAAGCAAATGAAATAACCTATGTAGAAACTGTAAAATGTTGTAAAATTTATTATTATAAAAAAAAGGCTATGCATGATAGAGCAAAATAGTCAGGGCACCTGGGTGGCTCAGTAGGTTAAGTGTCTGACTCAATTTCCACTCAGGTCATGATAAGAAAGAGAGAAAGAAAGAGAGAAAGAGAGAAAGAGAGAAAGAGAGAAAGAGAGAAAGAGAGAAAGAGAGAAAGAGAGAAAGAAAGAAAGAAAGAAAGAAAGAAAGAAAGAAAGAAAGAAAGAAAGAAAGAAAGGAGAACATCATCAGTGAAAAGAAAGAAAGAAAGAAAGAAAGAAAGAAAGAAAGAAAAGAAAGGAAGAACTAAAGAAAGAAAGGAGAACATCATCAGTGAACGGTTCCAAATCAGAAAATGCAGAACTGTCCCTTCTTGAGGAAGAGCTTAGAATATAGCTGAAGCTCAGAAGATCATTCAGGAAGACTGGTTATCCCTCACAGAGGAAGTACCCAGCTGACTCAGGCTGAATTTAAACTAAGACGGTATATTCCAAAGTTTCTACACCCCACTATCTGTGTAGCCCAAAGGAAGAACAATACACAGTTCACTATTCTAAGACTATTCAGCTGTAATGACAAAATGAATAATGCACAAGCACTTGCAGCTGCATTTGAATAACGCAGAAAAGTGTAGGAAGAATTCAGGTTTAAGGAGAGTAGATGTACTTTCCCTCTTTAAACACACTTGTGGGGCACAAGCGTCTGTTTTCAGCTTAGGTCACAATCTCATGGCTCATGGGTTTGAGCCCCGCATTGGGCTCTGTGCTGACAGCTCGGAGCCTGCAGCCTGCAGCCTGCTTCAGATCCTGTGTGTCCCTCTCTCTCTGTCCCTCCCCTACTCACACTCTGTCTCTGTCTCTGAAACATGAATAAACGTTTTTGAGCTAAACTGACTCCAGGGGCTATGAAGGGATCAGCAGGTGTACTGAGAGGGCAAGATCAGAAAGACTTGCAAAAGCCTCACCCAGTTGCCTGATCGGGACAGACACAATCTGCTTCTCCTCCCGAGTTGATAATCTACCAGGCTGCACAGTTTACTATGAGGAAAAGACCCACCCAAGCTGTTTGCTCCAGAGTAGAGCAAATGATCCACTTATGCTGAAGACTGTTGTGACTTGGGTGAGTTCCTGTAAAGTCTACATCCAAAGAAATGAGGGGCAGATCTGAAGCTAGCAAGTCCTAAAACAAAAGCCTCAGGGACCCTTCTACCTCAGAAAGAAACCAGGAACTACCTATGCAACAACCAAGTTGTCATGCATGTGTAATGCTCCCCTATTCAATTTGCTAGTCTTAAAAAGAAAAAAAGAAAAAAAAAAAAGGCTGCCTTCAAGCTTAGCAAGGAATGGGGCACCTGGGTGGCTTAGTCTGACTTCGGCTCAGCTCATAATCTTGCAGTTCATGGGTTCAGCCCTGTGTCAGGCTCTGGACTGACAGCTCAGAGCCTGGAGCCTGCTTCAGATTCTGTGTCTCCTCTTTGTCTGCCCCTCCCCCGCTGACATTCTCTCTGTCTCTCTCTCTCTCAAAAATAAATGTTAAAAGCATTAAAAAAAAAAGAATAGCAAAGAAGAAGGGTGCCTGGGTCACTCAGATGGTTAAGCATCACACTCTTGGTTTTGGTTCAGGTCATGATCTCATGGTTTCATGGGTTTGAGCCCTGAATCAGGCTTGTCCTGACAGAGCAGAGCCTGCTTGGGATTCTCTGTCTCCGTCTCTCTCTATTCCTCTCCCACTCGTCGCTGTCTCTCTCAAAATAAATAAACTTAAAAAAAAAAAAAAAAAGAATAGCAAGGAACAGGTGATTGCACACCATTCTAAAGCCTCTCTAGGGGAAGGGGTCTGGATTGGTATAACAGCAGGGGTGGGGCTGTGATGGGGTGACAGATGCTTTGAGGAAGGCCACACCTGAGCAGAGCTCACTCCTTACGCAGCTCCCTACCTAGAACAGAAGGAACTCAGGGAGCTCCCCAAACACCCAAAGCACTGCCTCTGTGGTCCCTTGCGTGTGAAGAGCCCATTCTCCCCTCCTCAGCTCCTCCCCATCTTTCCAGAATCTTGAGTGCCACAACCTTCACTGTATGCTAGGTGCCGGGCATTGTGCACAGCCCTGGGAAGGATACAAAGGCAAGTATGACAAAGCCTGTGCTCTCAGACTAGCCCAGCAGATAGGGGATCACACATGGGCACCCTCTCCTGGCCCAGCTCTTTTTCTCCCCAGGTACCAGGAATCACCTCCGCTCAGCACACACCCGTTATGACAACTATTTTATAAATCTGTCTCCCCCACACCCCACTTCCCAGTGAGCTCTGACAGGGCAGAGAACGTCTTGGTTTCTCTAGCACCTGGCACAATGCCCCCTGAAAGCAGAATGAGCATAGTGAGGGAGGAGGGGGATAGCACCCCTAACTTCCCAGATAGAGGCTACGAAACTGCAGAGGGTGGACCGGCCACAAGCAGGGGAAACAAAGTCTGAAGGACAAATGCACGCCATGCCCACCTCTGCTTTGCCTCTCCCTTCCCGTGGCTGCTGTTCACTTGGCTTTGTCAGGACCCCTCCTCGCTTCAGGGCTCTGGTGACAGCACAGTCCGTACCGCCAGACCCTGGTCCTGTCCTCAGGCACCACCCTTCTCCCCAGAATACGCCCCACTCAGCAAAGCTTCCTCCTCCAAAAGGACTTCAGTCCTTTTCTAGTTTCTAATAACTTGAGAAGGAAGGCCCCAAACGCCTTGTCAAGCAGATGCTACCACTCCCAGCAGGCTGACAAGTGGTGGGTGGAGGCAAGTAGAAGTGCTCTTAAAACCGCCATGATTTTATCACGGCAAGGGAAAGAAAATCCAAACTCCTTCCTGAGACTTGTGTGGGCGTGTGCGATCTGGTTCCGACCTGTCTCCAAACTGAACTCAGGACTTTAAGTCTCTGGCTGGGCTTTCTTCCAGCCCTTTCTCCCCTCGGGCCCCCTACACCTCGCTTTGCACAGGAGGCTGTCCCTTTTCTTAGAGTACCTCTCACAGTGTGGACTTAGTTTTTGCTACTTGCTTTCTCTTCTTCAAACTATGAGCCTGAGAGCAAGGGCTATGTCAGCACCCAGCTGGGTGTCCCACACATAGTAAGTGTTCTAATAAATATTTGCTGAATTAATAAAAAGGGAGACCTCCATCCCTCCACCCAGCTCCGTCACTAGCCCTTTTTCCTGATGGTTCCCGCCCCAGGTCACCCTCATCACCTCAAACCTGAGTCCCACTGCCCACAACTCACTCTCCATGATCTGCCCTCACAACTTCCCACCTCGTAGATCCCACTAATGCATCCATTTAGCTGTCCATCCTTTACAAATCCCGTCTCTCGCCCCTTACACCCCGCAGCTCCCTTCTTACCCTTACACTCCATAAACCCCGAAACTGCTTTTCACCACATACCTCCCCATCCTCAAACTCCCCTTAAACCCATCCCTCTTGCCCCAGGTCAAGCTCCGAAAACTCATCACCTGCTGCTTAGTCCCATAAGCCTTTCGATCCGTCGCATTTTAACTTCATAAATCCCTTCGGACTCAGAACCCCCCCTTTCGGTCCTCCCTGAGCCCACACATCTCCCTTCCCAGCTCCCCGCCCAGAGATGCACCCCAAGCTCTCACTGTGCGCCCTGACCTCCTCACTCCTCAGGCCCCCCGTCAAGTCGGCCCTGGCCCCGGGGCCCGACCCCTTCACTCCTGCGACTTTGGGCGGCCCACGCCCCGGTGGAGCCCGCGCAGCACCTGGCCTGCGCCTCCTCCAGGCTCTGGTCGGTGATGGCCATGATCTGCTGCAGGACCTCGCCTGTGTCGGGGCCTGGCGGGGACCCGGGCGGCGGGCGGCGCGGGGCCGGGGGAGGCGGCGCGGGGAGCTGCGGACACAGCGGGGGGTCCATATGCTGCTGGGACCGGGCAGCGCTGGGAAGGAGCAGCCGGGCCTGGAGCTCTCACTGAAGTGCGGCAGCCAACCACCGCCACCCGCGCGCACTGTGCGCGCGCGCCCAAACCCCACCCCTCGCCGCCGCCGCCAGCCAACCGCCGCCGGCCAGGCGGCCGCGCACCGCCCACGGACACGCCCCTAACTGCCCCTTTCAACGGCCCAGTGCTGGGTTGCAGACTTCGAGTTGCCGAGGCAACCGCTCTTCCAGTCCACACTCCCCTCCTTGCCGAGGAAGGGCGACCACTACTTCGCTCTGCCTCAGGGGCTCTCTCCGCCCTTACCCGCCTCCCTCACCTGCTCAGAACAACGACTCCTGCTTAGAGACCTAAATCCTTCTTAGTGCCCCTCACGTCTCAGAAGCCCCGCACTTCCCTCCAGCATTTCCTCAAGAGACGCTCAAGTCTCCTTAGAGACCCCCCCATCATCTCCTCACGCTCTCTACTCCCCCACCAGAGCCCCCACTACTCAGAGCCTCCATTCCTCTAAGGTCCGCACTCTTCCTCAGTGACCCCATATCCCAGAGTCCCCTCTCTTCTCCCCCCACTCTTCCTTCAAGCCACCCCTTCCTTCTCAGAAATCCCTATGATTCTCAGATCCTCACCAACACTCACCATCCATCTCCAGAAGCCCTAACACCCAGACCCCTCCTCAGTCCGGTAATGGTCCCCTCAGTCTCGGCCCCATCAGATGGGTACTAGGGCTCCTGGCTCTTTCCACCAAGCTTTTTTGTGTGTGGTGATGGTGGCTGGAGGGTTTGAACTGAGTGATTTTCTCACTTGCAGAAATCAATTTTCCCTTCAAGGTCTGGCTGACCAGTGATCTCACGTTTATTCATTCCATCTACTGCAGTCTGGGCCTAGAAAACCCTAGCACACGGGCACTGAGCTACTGAAGGATGCTTCCTGAAGGTCTGCTCTGAGGTGTACTGCAGGTAAGAGGTCTCCACAGGTCTTGGTTTCTAACCATTAGAACTCACAGCATCAGAGCCACTTCGAAAGCTCCCGGATTAAGGAAACTCGACATCTGGCCCCAGTAAGAGGAAGTACTAGAAGTTGTGGGGACTCTGGAGAGCTGTTGCCCTGTACAAAGTTCAGCAGCCCTGCACGTGAAGCCTCAAAGTTGTGTGTAATTTTGGTGTCTCTCAGAGAACAGTGGTGGGGGCAGAGGGTTGAAAGCTTTAGGGACCAAAACTTGAATGGAGAAGAGGTCTACAAAAGAGGGAAAAACCAATGGGACAAGATACCAAAGGAGACCAGAGGAGTGTGGGTTAGAGCCTGGAGGATACTGACGCAAGAGTGTCCAGCTCTGAGCAAGTGAAACATAAAGCTGCCTTTGGGAGGCCGTTGGGTTTCCCATCCCATAGGAAGTGGCTTTGACACCTGAAGTGACATGTCTGTCCAATAGGCCTGGAGTCCCACAGAAGCAAGGGCTGCATCTTTCAAGGGCCTGTGCCCAGGCATATGGCAGAAGGGTCATCATCTCTGAAGATTTCAGGCCTCAGGCCCTAGAAGACATGTTGCCCACCTTGGATCCTCAAGTATCCAGCATCCCAGTTCATTCCTGCCTCCTCACAGAGCTGTCTTAGGGCAGGAGGAGTTTTCCCAAAGGGAGAGACAGTCCCATGTAGTGAAGAAGGGACCTAGATATTTTTGGTTCTTCAGCAATGTGTGCTTTAGTGATTTAAGACTTTGGCCTCCAATGGAAGGCTGTTATTTAGCGTGTGAACCTTAAGAGGCTATAACCTTGTCTCCTCCTCTCCCGGTGAAGAGGAAGCAGAGAATCCAGATTCTGGTCTACACTGTATCTAGCAGGGTGCCTTTATGAGCATCTGAGAGGGAGCTCATCATGGCCTGTCTGAGCCTTGAGGGGCCGTAGGGTGAGATGATGAGGAATACCAAGCTGAGGTTGTGACCAACTCTTGACTTTGTGGGGAATCCAAAGCCCTTTCCCCAGGTGCCTCTCTTGTCCCTTGATTCATCTCTGTGCCTTTTGAAGCTATGCAACCACAGGCCAGATGGCAACCCCTCTGAGCTACTGTCCTGTGAAAACAAGTGTAATACTTGCACCACAAGATGTAAGTGATGATTAAATAATGCAACTCCAGTGCTATTCAGAGTGCCAGGGGCATTGGAGGAGCCTGAGAAATGGGAAATGGCAACTCTAAAATGCTGCATCCTGCTCTATGGACCACACTCCCCCTGGGCTGGTGGCGTGGGTAAGGGGATGGACACACCTGACTGTTAATAACCTGGACTCAGACGAAAGGGCAGGCAGGAGAAACAGTGCTCACACAGGCTGGAGACCACTGTGGGCTCCAGAGGACAGAGACAGATGGGGAGGGGGTGAGTTCGAGGCAGGGCAACAGGCAGAAGAGACTGAGGAAAAGAGAATGGATGTAAGACCTCCAACAAGAGAGATGGAGTAGGGCACCTGGCTGGCTCAGTTGGTAGAGCATGCGACTCTTCATCTTGGGGTTATGAGTTTGAGCCCCATGTTGGATGTAGAGATTACTTTTAAAGAGAGAGAGAGAGAGAGAGAGAGAGAGAGAGAGAGAGAGATGGAGTAACCGCCGTGCAGAGATCAAAGAGGAAAGAGAACAGGGCTGAGAAGGTCCCAGCCTAGCCCAAGCCCGAGCTGAGGTGGACAATTCCGGGACACAGGGACAGACGGGACTATCTGAGTTGATGACAGAAAATGCTCTGGAGGCCTCAATGGAAAGAAATGCTTACTCCTTATATCATGCTCTCCCCCACAGACCCCCTCAGTTCTAACAGGGACAGACAAGACCCCAGAGGCCACAAGGGGCCACAGATCTTCTCCCAGCTCACACTCAGCACCCCTCAGTCTGCGGCCCTAAAGAATCAGCTTCAGGCAGATGGTGCATCCACGGTCCATGTTACCCTGTTGCACTGGGCGGAGTGGCCTCATCTCTCCCGTCTTTGACACCCATATCACCACAAACAAGGAAGCAGTCCACAGGGTTTACCAGGGATGTGCAGTAAAAAATAGAAAATGTCAGTTAAAACCCTCCGCAACCTGAGATGATTGACGAGCAAGTTCCTGGGTCCCGTCTGACTCTCTCCTGGGCATTTGGAGGTGACCCCACATCCCCAGGCCCTCGGGGAGCCACGGCTGTGTGCCTGGGGGAGGCTGGCAGTGGAGTGGTGCCCCTGCAGATGGAGGGTCTGCCTTTAAGTCTGTCCTGCAGATTGAGGAGAGCCAGGTACATCCACAAGTGGTCAGGGGACACGATCCGGCATCTGCTGCACCCCAGTGAAGTCCCAGGTTGGCTAAAGGGTGGAGTCCATCAGGGGGTGGCCATTCTCGGGAAGCATGATGCGAGTGCTGGCCCCCGTTCGGGTGGAGGGCGTGTAACGGGCAGACTCGTGGGTGGACTGGCGAAGGCACAGGCAGCAGAGGAGGCGGCGGAAGGTGCGGCGCATCTCGGCGTCTCGGCACGAGTACACCACGGCATTGACCAGTGAGTTGGCCTCAGCCAAGAGCAAGAAATACTTCTCCACAGCCAGAACGTTGCAGGACTTGCAGCCCAGACCATCCAGGAGCAGCACCACCTGGCCCGGCGTCCAGCAGACCACGAACGCCCCTGCAGGATGAAGTCTGAGGTGAGTGGAGCCGGCTATTGGGGGGCCCGAGCCCCACAGCTCAGAGCTCAGGGCTGGAGGGGTCTCCGGAGCTCAGACAAGAGCCGAGTAGTTTTCAGGGCAAGAGAGGCCCGATACTTTTCTCTGATTTGTCTGCCAGAGGGATACCTTCCCTAACCAGTACACGGTAGCCAGGGTGCTGGGCATTTCTACATGGAGACTGGTTCTGTGGGGGAAAGGAGGTCACTGGGATAGGCCAGTTACATGGGGTGTGGGGAAGGGGATTATAAGGAAGAGGCACCCTTGACTTTGGGGTATGGGAGTGTATCCTCCTGGGGTACACCTTGCCGCCTCCCCCACTCAGATTACTTGACAGCCAGGCTGACCTCATTACTCCCTGCTAAGAACTCTATAAGGGCTTCCCATGGAACTCAGAACAAAATCTGACTCTTGCCTGTGCCCTTCGAGGCGATGCTGACCTTCTCTCCTGCTTCTCTCCAGCCACACGGGCCTCCTCTCCTCTCTGGAGGCACTGGCCCAGTCCCACGGGGCTCTCACCTTCTGTCCCCTCTGCTTGGAACTCTTCCCTTCCCCGGCTTTCAGGTCTCTGCTCAGAGGTCACCTCCTTGAACATTCCCCACTCGAATCATCCCCTCCCATGTCTTGTGGGAGTTGGGGGTGGGGGTGGAAAGCAGGGTTCCTGCAACCCAGGGCCGGCTGAGGGCACTCACTCACCCAGAATGATGACAACGGTCTTGACCAGGCTGAGTGTGGTCTCTCGGTAGCGAGGGTGGCAGCTGACATGCTCCGCCATGCGCTGCACCCTCCGCCTCACATAGAAGAAAATGCGGGTGTAGACAGCCACCATGAGCAGGAAGACAAGCAGGCTGGACAGGGCCCAGACGGCCAGGTAGGAGCGGCTGAGCAGGGGGGCCATGCGTGAGCAGCGGTCCAGGGCACAGAGGCAGTGCCAGAAGTGGGCGGGCAGCAGCCCCAGGCCCAGCGCGGCCACCCACACCCCCACGATGAGCATGACGACGCGGCCACGGGGCAGGCGGCTGTGCAGCTGCACGGCCATCACGCTGCGGTGCCGCTCCATGGCGATGGCCAGCAGCGTGGCCACTGATGCCGTCAGACTCGTGTCCAACAGGCCCTGCCGCACAAACCAGCCCTCCACCGAGAGCCGGGCGGTGCGAGGGCCCGTGTGAAACATGAGGAAGAGGTAGGCCACACCGGCAAAGAGGTCGGCGGCAGCCAGGTTGCCCAGCAGGTAGTAAATGGGCTGGTGGAAGCGGCGGTTGGAGGCAATGGCCGCGATCACCAACAGGTTGGTCAGCAGCACCAGCACGCTGACAGTCAGCCCCAGAGCCACCACAACTACATCCTTGGGCCGCCAGTGGGAGCTGAGCTCCTTGCCACTGTTGTTGTAGAAGAAGCCGATGGTCTCATTGTAGTAGCACTGGCCCATGCTGACCATCTGGGGGCACAGAGGGAGAGGTCAGTGCAGGTGGCATTTGTTGGAAGGACACAGGAAGGAGCAGCAGCCAGAGGGGAGGGTCAGGACAGGCAGGGCAAGGGTCTCAAACTCAGATGCCTCAGGGTAAAGTGGCTGTGGTGGAGACCAGGGTAACCTGGAAAAGCAAGCTACAACAGTGGGCTTGGGGGGGGGGATGGGCAGCGGTTGCTTATTTACTACTAAGACGCTTACAAAGATACTCCCAAATCAAGTGATTGGCTTTTTAAAAAAAAAAATCTGAAGCAAAATGGGCGCCTGGATGGCTCAGTCGGTTAAGCAACTGACTTGTTCAGGTCATGATCTTGTGGTTTGTGGGTTCCAGCCCCCTGTTGGGCTCTGTGCTGAGAGCTCACAGCCTGGAGTCTGCTTCAGATTGTCTCCCCCCCTCTCTCTTTGCCCCTTCCCTACTGATGCTCTCTTTCCCAAAACAAATAAACATTAAAATTTTTTAATGAAAAAAAAATAAAGAAGCAAAACAAGCCAAACAAACAAAAAACCAACAAGAAGTCATCAGCCCAAGCGCCGCCAATCTGTACTGGAGGTCGGGGGAGAGAGGAACAAAGGGGGCGTAAGCTGTGAAAGTAGGTGAGGGAGGGTCTGTTTGGTGCAGGGATCATTGCAGGGAGCAGAGCCCAGGGGACGGGTGTGCGCAGGGTGGGGTCACTGCTGTCCGTGCTAGAGCGTGGAGGTGACCAGGTCGTCCAGAATGGACAGCGAGGCAGCCCCAGAAGTTGGGCGGCGGGTTTTGGGCGCGAGCGCTCCCGAAGCGGGCGGGGAATCGGGCCAGTGGGTCCGAGGACCCCGGTACCGTCGCTGACAAAGGGGGCGGTCAGGGAGGCGGCGGCCGGCCGGGCCTCCCGGCGCCCCCAGGCTGGAGGAGGAGCTGGGGGAGAGGGGAGGAGGGGGGCAAGGGGCGGGGCCCGGGCCCTGCAGGCACGTGCCGCGCCCTCCCTGGGACCCGCGCCCACCTACCACCGGCAGTACCCTCCTCGCTTGGGCCTCCCGTCACGCCGCAGTAGGGTCGGCCTCCCTGGGGGTCGGGGCAGGCCCCAGCCCCATAGCCTGGTGACCGCGAAGGGGAGCGGAGGAGCGTTCGAGTGCGCTCGGCGCCGGCAGCCAAGAGAGGACGGGAGGCGGGGTCCCACCTCTGCCTAGGCGCGGCGCCCCGCCCTCGCCACCTGGGGAAGCCCCGCCCCGTCTCTGCCACCTGGGGAAACTCAGCGGTCTCTGTAAGGACAAGGTCTCCCGGAACCTCAGCACCCCCCCCCCCATTTCCTCCAGGCCTCACGGCCTCTCGGTCGCCCCTCTCCACTTCCGGCGCGGGACCCCCGCCCTCGTTCTCGCGCACCCCACACGCACGCAGTTTCGAGCCTTCCGGGGGCTGAGTCATTCAAGGCCCAAGAATTACCGCAGTGACCTCGCGCAGCCTGGGCGCAGCTCCGGGTGGTCTCAGGGTCCGCACCCCCACCCGGCCACCCCGCCCGCTCCCTGGCGTCCAATCCGTCGCCGAGTTCCAAGCCACGCCCTGATCCGACTGGGCTCCCACAGCCGGGACCCCCGCCCCGCCTCCGTTTCTTGAGAACTCAGCTACCGCGCGCAGCGGCCTCCGGTGCCCCTCGGACCTCTCCCGCCCCAGGTGACCCTCGGGGAGCACTCAAGTTTCTCGAAATCCCGCCCCCAAGCCCTCCACCCCCGGCAGCGCTGCGCGCTGCCCGCTGCCCGGCCCCGGCTTGTGGCGGCCCTGGGCTCCCACGGCCCAGAGCACATAGCCCCATTGTCCCAGTTATCTGCACTTTGTTATATTTGTTTGATTATGCAGGACCGGATCGGGGACGTGGAGCTCCGGGAGGGCCGGGCCGGTGTGACTCAGCCTGGTGCCCGGGCCCAGCCGGTACTGCCTGTAGGTGCTCAAGGATGTTTGGGGATGAAAGAGGGCTTTGGTTTCTCTGGTGGGTAAAGTGGGGCCAAAGGATTCTGCCCTCATCTATCTCTCCCATCGCCTTCCCCTGGCAAAGAAAGACACTCCAGGGTATAAAGGACACAGTTTATTCTGAGGCCATCACACCCCAGGTACCACCAGGATGTTGAGTTTGGGCTGCCCACTCCCAAGCGTTGGTCACCTGAGGTCAGCTAAGAAGGCAGAAAGAGGTAGGGGAGTGGCCACAACCAAAGTAGCAAGAGGCACCCCTGTCCTAGGGGGCGGATGCCAAGGATCCCATGACCTGTATTGACCCTGAGTATTGGCCCTGACTAACCTCTGAACCTGAGTGGCCCTGATGTTTGGCAAGGGCCCGTGTCTAACTGAGAGATCCTGATATATTGCTTCCAAAAGGGTTTTAGTACCCGAGGCCATGTAGTCTTGCCTTACAGGAACTCTCCAGACCCCCAAGACTGAACACCTTCTGAGTCCTTTCCTCCTTGGTCAGAATGCTGGCATGGTCAGAGATGGTCCTCAGCTTCCTCAGGTTGGGGGTCTGGGCAGGAGGTGGCTGTGGGCACAGCCTCGCTGTGTAGCTTGGAGAGTAGCCTGGCTGTCTCTTGGGTGATCTCAAAATGCTTGGGCAGCTGGGTGCGGCGCAGAGGGCTGCCTTCAGGGGGAGAGGAGGTGACGGGGCCAGGTCCCCGCCTCCGCAAGCTCCCTCGGGGCACTGATGCCACAGGGGTCTCCTCGCACAATTTGGAAGCCACCAGGGCCAAGCTGGATAGCTGGTGGGTGACGGGCCGAACGCCGCCCCGGGGATACTTCACTGGCTGGCGACTGAAGTGGCCACGGGATTGTGTTCCCAGGAGTGAGTCCTCTGGACCTTGGCTGGACACTGCGGGTTGGGGTGGCCAGTGCTGAGCATCCCTAAGTCCTCAGGATATCTCCCCAGCTAAGCCACCCCAAGCAAGGATACCCCTACAACTCCTGGGTGCCCCCCAACATACTCACCTTCCCCTCCTTCCTCTTTGGTGTCCTCAGTCACTTCTTTCTGGTCACTCTGTGGAGCTGGAATCTACAGGAACAAACCCAAGACCAAAACCTCAACAATAAAATTCCAGTTCTTTGAAACTCTTGGGGACCTGAGGGTTTGTTCCTGGACATGCAAAAGGTCTTTGGCAGGTTTGGTATCTGGAGAGACAATGCCCTTAACAGTGGACTGCTTATCCTCTCGTGCAGAGCAGTGTTCTTAATCTCGACTGTGGGCTCCGTGAAGGCAGACACACCCTTGCTCAGCAGAGGGGCAGCCCAGGGAGTGACTTAGCCGTGTCCACATTAGGACCGGGGGAGCTACTTGTCTCCATCCTTCTCTGCAACCTTGCACCTGCTTTGTAGGTGATCTGTATATCCTTCAGTTGATCCTTTGGCTAAATGCTAATAGCAGCTGGAGTTCTTTCCTCCTGTCCCAAACGTTTTCTGAACCATTCCATTTCTCAGAGACCCAGAACCCACTGACTGCTCCTTTGCCGGCTCCGAGTTGCTGTTGGTGGGGAGGTCCATGTTCTAAGGAATGGTGTGTGTAGCACGATCTGAGGGACAGGGAAGCCCCCTGTAGGAGTCTCCTCTATAAATGGTTTTCACTAACGGTGTCTACCTCTCACGGCTGTGCTGAGGATGACAGGAAGCTTATGAAGTGCCCATGCATAGTAGATGCAGTCTATGTGGCATTAAACAGATGCCTCTTTGGCCTCACTTTCTACCACTTTCTCCTCACTAATTCATTACAGCTCGGGGCTGTGCCCTAAACACACCAGTCATGCTCTTACCTCAGGGTCTTTGCACGGGTTGTTCTCTTTGGAACACCCTTCCCCAGATCTCCATATGGCTTATTCCTCCCCGACATCGTCCAGTCTTTGGTCAAATCCACCTTCTCCGTGGAAATGGCCCACAGAATCCTTTTACTGCTACAAACTGCCCTCCACCTCTCCTTGGTGCCCCCAGTGTCCCTTACCTTATGCTACCCTTTCTTTTCTCCATAGTACTTGTCCCCTTGTAATGTTCTACAAACTGACTTTGTATCCTATTTCTTTTTTATCGTTGGTTTCTTCCCCACTAGAATGCAGTCGCCGAAAGGATGGGGTCTCTCAATAATTTACTCACTGATGTATGTGCAATGCCTGCTATAACAATGCTTGGTACACACTAGGTGTTCAATAAATACTCTGTTGAAGGAATAAATGATCACCCTTGTTAATAACTGCAGAGCTGTATCCTGTTGTTCCTCCATTATTAGCCCCACCCCCGCTCGATTCCTCACTTTTCCTTCCAGAATGAGCACAAGGTAAACAAGGAAGGGAGAAAGGGGATGACAGAGAAAGTTTTAAAGGCAAAAGAAGGAAGGGAGACAGGAGAGTGAGAGGCTTAAATGCAGAGAAGGCCCTCCCCTGCCTGTGGGCCCAGGGGGTTCCTACCTCAGGAGGCGTAGCTTCAGGATGCTTCTCCAAGGTACCGTGGGGCTCAGGGTCTGGGTTGGGGTCTGAGGTTAGGACTAAGGGCAGGGGATCTGGGGCAGGGTCTGAGGGTGGTTGCTGGGGGTTGGTTGTGAGAGCTCCGGGAGCTGGACTGGGGTCTCGGGGTGGAGGCTCACTGGCCACGGGGAGGTCATCCATCCCAAAGATTTGCTCGTAGTATACGATGAGGAACTCGACGAGTTGGGCCTGGTGCCCAGAGTCTAGTAGGCAGGTGACAGGGCCAGCACCTGCTGCCCCTGGACCATCCGGTGGCCGCAGCAGCGTGGGCCCAAACACAATGCCCAGGTTGTTGGCAGACATCTTGTTTTCCTCAAACTGTGCAGCCACCCTGGGGACAGTATGAGGAAAAGGGTCAGGGCATGGCATGCACGGTCACTGGTCATCCGGGAGGAGCTGTAGGCCAGGCTAGCGGCAACTTGCCCAAGTCCTGGGTAAGTGGTCCCAGTCATTGAGACTGGCAGCTGCATGCCTGGCAGTGGAGATTAGGGCCAGCACCCCAAGTCTGGAGTCAGGTATTAAGATTCAGAGCTCAGAAAGCACATGCAAAGGTCAGAAGTCAGTGGCAGAGGTCAGTCCCAGAGATCAGTAGCCATATGTCCAGGGATGGGGTCACAGATCCATGCCTTAGGTCAGAAATCACATTTCAAGGTCAGGGACAGTGCACACCTGAACAGATGGGCCACCAGGTGTCGCAGGGTGTTGTAGTTAGAGTCAGGCAGCTGCACCAAGAGGGTCTTCAGCGAGCGGATAACCTCAGGGCTGGGGCTGGGGGTCCCAGGGTCGTGCCCAGGGTCTGCATGCAGGGTCTTAGCCAGAGAGATGAAGGCGTCGTAGAGGTGGAAGGGGACCACGGGGTCAGTGAGCTGAGGGTGGAATGGTGGGAGGGACATGGGTGTGGGTGGGCTGCAGAGAGGCCTCAGCCTGAGCCCGCCCGGCCCCCTACCCCTGAGCCACTGAGTACCCACCTCCTGGAGGAATCGCTTGAGGACACTCGAGACGTCGTGAGGTGAGTTTCCTGACATGTCCACCAACCCTCGGCCATTCTCGAAAGCCTGGCACAGCCGCTCCACACGGACTCGGGACCCGCTGATCCGATAAATGCCCTGCGGGGCAGGGGCAGGAAATGGACATCTGGCTTACAATCCACCCATCGAGAGGACCAGGTCACTACTGGGGGTGGTCAAGAGTCAAGGCGGCACCTGCACACCCAGGGCACGCTGTTCTATCTCGGCCGTACACCTGGTGATCACAAAGGGCACCTCCTCCGGGAAGTCTCTGGGCAGCTGCAGGAAGTCAACCCCAAAGAGGGGAGTCCGGACTGGCAGTCGCTTATGTCCACAGAGGATGAGTAGAGTCTCCAGACACCGCTTGTGGCAGGTCAGAAAGCACTGAGGGGAAAGTTATAGGGTCAAGGTCAACAGAGGTCAGCAGGGGAAGAGAAAGTGGTAGGGATCCTCAGGGGGTAGGGGGCTCATAGGACATCTTTAGATCAGGGCAGGTCCCAAGGGCAGAAAGGTCATAGGGATTTCAGGTCAAGTGCCTGGGGTCAGGGAGGTCACTGGGGTCATAAGAGGTTATTGGTTCATGGGCCCGGGCCACACCTCCTCACACTCAATCCCATTGACCATGAAGGCTTCACATTCGCGGCACT